TGGTAAGGATCCTTTGCCTTCTTTAAGGCAAACAGATTCATATGTGCAGCAAGAAGAAAGTCAAAGAAGTGCCATGATACACATAGTTTCAATAGACAAGGCAGGGTTAGTTGCAAATTCCTTTCATGAGCAGCTAAAAGTCAGTACCAAGGTCCATCAGACAAGGATCATTTACACTATGATTATTGTGGGAAGCTAAGGCATACTAAGGAGAGTTGTTGAAAGCCAAATGATCGACCAACTAGGGGTCGTGGAGTTTAACGGATAGGCTCAACAAGACCACAAGCAAACCTATCCGAAATAGTAGAAATACCTACAGAGACAACTAACATTGGGAGTCTTTCCAAGGAAGAAGTACAAACCTTAAGGAGTCTTTTGTCTCAGATTGATTCTCAATCAACCACAGGTGCTTCCTCCAATTTTGTCAAAATAGGTACTGCTTTTCTTGCCAATCTTGATACTCATAATGATTCATGGATTATAGATTCTGGAGCACACAAACATATGGCAGGCTCTTCCAATAAATTCTCAACTTATTCTCTGTGTTTAGACAATGATAAAGTCCGTATAGCAGATGGATCTTTAGCATCTATATCTGGAACAGGTTCTGTTAAATGTACTCCCACCATTAATCTATCTTCAGTTCTTCATGTTCCTAGTTTTCCTATTAGCCTTTTATCTGTTATTTCAATTACAAAAGCACTTGATTGCAAAATTGAATTCTTTCCAACTCATTGTGTTTTTCAGGACCTAAAAACAGGGAGAACGATTGGCTTTGGTAGATTGCAAGATGGCTTGTATCTACTAGAGGAAGGTTGTAGTATCTTGATTCCTGATATAACTTGAGCCTTGTTAGGAGACTATGAATGTTGACCAAGAAATAATCCAATGGCATAGAAGAGTAGGACAACCATCTTTTTCTGTTTTAGAAAAATTATATCCTAGTTTGTTTAAACAATGCCAGTTGGATTTATTATTTTGTGACACTTGTGAATTTGCTAAACACACCAGACATTCTTATCCTTCAACTAATAATAAGAGCTCAGTTCCTTTTATGACTATTCATTCTGATGTATGGAGACTTAGTTGAACAATTTCTCTATCCGGTTACATATGGTTTGTTACCTTTATCGATTGTTGTACTAGATTAACTAGGGTTTATTTGATGGAAGCAAAGAATAAGGTTTTTTTCTTGTTTTCAACTATTTCACAAAATGATTTGTACACAATTTGATGCCAAGGTTATGATTATGAGAACCGACAATGGTACAGAATAAATGGATGGTGTGTTTAGTGCATATCTAGATTCCAATGGAACATTACACCAAACTAGCTGTGTGGACACTAGTGCACAAAATGAAGTGTCTGAAAGGAAGAACAAGCACCCATTAGACATGGCTCGATCTCTCATGTTTACTATGAATGTTCCAAACGTTTATTGGGGCGATGCAATACTTTCAACCGCATACCTTATTAATAGAATGGACCAAAAAACACTTAATTTTAAGAGTCCTTTAGAAGTTCTACAAGGTAGTAATCAATATACTATTCCTCCAAAGATTTTTTGATGTGTATGTTTTGTTCACAAGAGAAATGTAGGTAAGTTAGAACCAAGGGCCCTTAAATGTGTGTTTGTTGGCTACACTACAACTCAAAAGGGATATAAGTGTTATCATCCACCCTTAAGAAAGTACATTGTAAGTATGGATGTTACCTTTAGGGAGTTTGAGCCTTATTTTCATACACCTCAATCACCTCTTCAGGGGGAGAATAGGGAGGAAGAGGTGGAGGTGATAGCACCTGCACCTATACAATTTTCTAGTGATGACAAAGAACAACTTAAAACTGGACAATTAGATAGGCCAGATTTGAAAACCTACACGTGATGGGACAAGACAAATAAAGCCATCGAGCATATTATACCTCAACAAGCGCCATCTCTAAGTTGAGTCCCTGAAAATACATGTGGTGAGTCTTCTTTACCTTTTAATTACCCTAATTCCAATCCCATTGCTAATGATCTTGATGCTCCTATTGCTATCAGAAAAGGAGTTAGAGCTTGTACTAAACATCCTATTTCTAACTTTGTTTCCTACAATTCTTTGTCTCCTTCCTATAGAGCCTTTGTATAGTCTGTTTCTTCCATTTCTATTCCACAAGGTTGGCAAGAAGCATATCATGATCCAAAATGGAAAGA